CTCAGCATGGAGAACAGCTTAGGGTTTCTTGTTATTGAAAGGATTTTAGGATGAAGCCTGGGGTCTGCGACTTTGTGCTACCTTCGTTGCACCCCAGCTTCTGGCACTGGGGGCATGGCTGTCGAACTTGTATCGAAAGCTGCGTCTTACCTGTGCAAGTGGGGTGGCGTTGTAAGCTGGTTCTTTTGGAGACGGCCAGCACCTGTAAGGTACGCAGGGCTGATCTTCTACTCATTGCTGATGATCGGCATGTTCCTGGACCGGGGGGTGGGAGACGGAGTGGCTTTTGCTACTTTCAAGACTTAGAATCCGCTCGGTTCAAGGCTCTCGGCTGTCGCTCAGTGGGTCAGTGGGTCATCATGCAGTTTCTCCAAGCGTGCTGCACCTTGAAGTTTTCTTTGTTGCTGCATGGCTGTGCACTTCGAACACAGCGAGGATGAGTTCACTTGGCATGTCATCGTTGTGAACTCTCATAATGTGTTGACTTCCGATTCTACAGGCATGACCCACGAAACGCGCATTCAAGGATTTGTCCGATGAACCGCGCACGTGTTTCTACCCATGCCTCAAAATGAACTGATGATGGGGCGCATCCGTCACGGAATGTCGCTGGAATTAGCCAAGAGCATAGTAGACAGCAGAACTTTGGGCAAATACGGATCACCCAAGCAGCTGCAGGCAGACCATACGTGCCGGCACTGCAATAAGCACGAGCAATGGGAACCGCCACAGTGCAGCAAAACTGGTTTCTGTGGTGGTGGAGACTGCGCGAAAAGATCGACTGTCTTAGCTGCAGGTCTGGCGGCAATGCCCTAAAGAACGGTAAATTCCCCTTCTCTCCAGCTGCGACCTCCCCTGCGTCTCCAGGGCCGCGCCCCGAACTATGTCCCGGCCGGCTTCGGCATCGCAGCGTGCTGCGGCTAGCAATCTGAGGGCCCTGGGTTTCAACGTTTGCCTTGAAATCCTGAAAATACGCATCGGATACGGCGTGGTCCTGCTGCATGTTTTTTCTCCCCTCTCATGATGAGGTATATGAAAATAGTTATGCAGCCTGCATCCAGAGTTTCAGGGCCGAAGCTAGGTCCCTGAGCTCCCTGTATGGTGTTTGTTGTTCGGACCATCTGCTTTCAGCTGCTGGTTATCTAAAACCGTTTTGAGATTGAGATGTCCCGGAAGCATTTACCGAAGTTACATCTTGAAGGACTGAATAAACAGCGACCTTCAGCATTGAGCTTTCCACTCCTGGGGCCCTAGCGTTGAGGGTTCAAGCCGTGTTGGTCAGATGTTGTGTCCATGGCCGTACGCGTCCCGCCGCAGTGTCCAGTAGGCTCCGCTCTAGTGGGAAACCCTCGTGATACCTCACATCGTTTACACGTTCATTCGTGCCTTAACTCGGGTCACAAAATCCACCGAGACCGAGTTGCTCAGAGCAGCCATGCGGCTTCGGCTTCGATCTACCGTGCTGGTTGTGTGTTTCGATGTTCGTTTCAGCAAAGATTCAAAGGCGAGTGACAAACTCCCAGGAACTCAGGTCCGGCGTCCTTCCCAGATCCGAGGCTGGTTTATGCCTTGGTGTCCTACCGCGCCGTGATGGACTTTGAATGGGAGAGTCTACCTTGGGAGGCGCGGGGGGGGGGGGGGGGCAGGGGGGAGACTGCCTACGTCCTTCGAGTCGTGGCAAGAAGGATGCTGCACGTTCAAAAGGCCCGAAAGAATCCACAGCCAATCCCATTATACTGGCACAAACAACAGCGCGAAGGCACACATCGTTTGCAAGTGCACGGCTTGGCTAGTCCTTGATTTGACCCCGCGACATTCGGGCAACTGCTGCTTGGGATGATGCTTGTCCGTCGTGAGGAGATTGCCCCAGATGCGGACGGGAATGACTATGTGCCGGAGGTTCCGACTGCTACAAGAGCTTGCTGAACAAGCCCAGAATGCAAGCCTTAATCCTCACCGGGGGAGCTTCGAGCATGATCATCTTCGGATGCCTCCTGCCATTTCAGGGATGCTGCGAAGGAGTTCCAAGATGTGTTATGCAAACCGGACATATGAGGCTGCACGTCAGGGCCTTAAATTAGCCGTGATGAGCCGACACGTGTCAAGAAGTTCCCAATACTGACAGCGTCGTGTGACGCATTGCCTCGCCTTCCTCTTGCGTGGTCTACGGGGTAACGATCCTAGATGAAAAAGCACGACAAGTGATCACCGCGCTGGACCTCCGTTTTTGGAAGCCTGCTGGGCAAGGCGACTTGAACTTGCCTAACTCCTCAAGCCCCGGAAGGGAAAGAAGCTGCAGAAGTGATCGTAGGTTGCAGAGCATTCCTTGGAGGATGCTGGGGACAGCTACGTGCAGCCAGAACTGGAGAAGGCAGCGTGTGGCGATCGCGCGATGTGTCATGCAATCAGTTCTGCATGTTCCTTGCGTATTCCTAGCATCCTCTGTCAGGACCTGGATGAGATTGTTCAACAGGGCGTGCAGGCGAAGAGTTGAGTTCTGGCCTGATTATGTTGGGCATGTTGCAGGTCTTGTTCGTTCTAAGGCTGGGGTTTTGCTGCTGCTAGGGGTAGCGCCGTCTGGGGACCGCGAATGTGCATCGGTCTCATGATTTTGGCGTCAGACTGTGAGTTTGGTACAGCGAAGTCGCTCGGCAGACTCGCCAGACTCGGGGTCGTGGATTGGAAAGCTTGGAGAAGCTCCGGGATCAGATGAAGACTCTGTGGCATAAAAGGTGAACTCTCACTTCACTCATGTGCTGTCATGCTGTCGGTATACCCGGTATACCATCTTGAACCAGGAAACCCTTCAACCAGTTTGATTCCCGGAAAGTCCTGGATCTCCAAAGCTGAGGAGCCGGCATCCTGGGCTTAGCAGCCAGGGCTTCGCCTCAGAGTAGAGCTGAGCGAGGTTTCTGCTTGCAGTTTCTTGAGTGATGCATAGGCTGGAAGCAAGACAATTTGGGACTTCGGCGCGCAAGTGGGTGCTGAAAAACTGAGCCATAGCGCAGCTTGCGCACATACTTGCCCCTTTAAAATGCAGTCCCTGTTATCGTTCTACGATGGGAAAAAGGCCAAGGCAGGGCCTCGAAAGAAAGCACCCCTTGCATCAACAACTTGGAGCGGAAACGACGGGTTCGAGAGTCCCAGATTGTAGTTGTGCGACCGGGGAGAGCTATAATTATCGGAGCAGGGCGAAAAAGTGCCGCAGTTGAAACGCATGACGCTTATGAAGTGGGCTGCGTGTGGCAGGCAGGCCGCACAGCCATAAGTTTTGATATCAAGAGCTCGTACGAAGATGCCATGTGCTTCGCCGAATACGAGTTTTTCCGGATTGTGATACTTGTTGTTCCGCTCGCTGGCGATGTGGAACTCGATATAGACTGAGCAGATAGCTGTGCCTGCACCGTTCAAGCATGGAGCTCTTTCATCGCAGGCTGAGGATCTCCAAGTGTCCTGACAATGGCTATGGCACGCATAGTCATAGTCGATTGAGCACCTGTCTAGGTGGCAACAATTTCGGCATTCTCCGGGACCAGAGGCATTGCAAGCATTTGTCGTAATTCCAAGAACCAGAGCTCCATGATCAGAAACGCATCCTAGGGCAATGGCTGACTCCCCGGACGCTGAGATACTCCAGAAACTGCTCCAGCCGTCACCTGCCGCGGTGGCCTCGCATTTGGCAAGACAGGCTGCAAAGGCCCCGATCCAGAGAGTACAGAGAGCATCTAGCGCAGACACGGATCTATATGGTTGGGGATTGACCCAGGAGAGTGCACAAGAGCTAATGCACGATCTCTTCGATGTGGTGGAGGAATTCCCAGATATGGTGGCCCAGCTCTGTCATGACTTAAAGAAGCTGGGCTACTTCTCAGGGTTCCCCCTGCCCGCAGAGCGAAAGGATAAGTTCTCCGGCATGGAAGTCATCAGCGAACGGGAGATCAAAGAAACGGCGATGGCTTTCTTAAGGCGTGGGACTGCAACAGACAGCACAGATGCATCTTCACACGAAGTTAGGCAGGTGGTACAGGATGTTTCCAGCTCCTCGAGTAAGAGGAGGTCATTTAGCAAGCAGCGGGGTGCAGCTGCCCAAAGCAACGGCAGCCGCAATGCGGACACGACGCTCGTGATGATGAATCTGCCGGTGGACTACAGTCATGAGAAGTCCCGAGGACTAGTGGATAGCTTGGGCTTCCGTGACAGGTACGATGCCGTAATCTGGTTTCCAAGAAAGCAGGTGGGCCAACAGAACCTTTCGCATGCCGTGGTGAACTTCAAGTCCCCAGAAGACTGCATGGCATTCCGAAGACGCGTAAGACAGGGTGGCATCAACCCTTCGGGAGAATTTCGGCTGGCTCGTTGGATGGTTGATGGTTGCGTTGTCCCAGTTTGCAGTTCTCAACAATGGATTTGGGTCTGGGTTACGGGTTCGGGCTTCAAGACTGTAGCTTCGGTTCTGTTTCGCGGTCCGCAAAAGACTTTCTTCTGGTCGTTGCAGCGCTTGCAGGGAAGAGCTCGAATTTCCCCGATCCATAGGAGTATGGTAAGATGCTGCAATTAGACAGAAACTCTCCGCAGTCACATCACTAAGCAGTGGACAGACAACCCGAGCCCTTCCGGTCCGAGACACAAGGAGAAGGAGCTTGCCTTGACCGAGAGTACACTACAAGGCTTCCACGACCTCTTCGTGAAGTACTGGTACATGAGCTTAGTCTCGAGTTGGATTGGGTTGTGGGTGTAAGAAAAGCAGCTGTTGCAGATTATTCGATAAAGGAAAAGCTTCGCCTGTCGAGTTGGTCTCTAAGAGGGGGTTGGGCTTCAGCCAGGATGGACCCAATGAGTGTGTGAAGCGAAGTGAACACTCTTGTCGGGTGAGGGCTTGTGATTTGAAGTCAGTAGGTTCTCCAACACCTAGACCACTCTCTCAGCCCGGTGATCTAACCGAGTTATTTTCGATGTAAATCACCCGGCGCATTTGCCACGGGACGAAGCAGTCACTCTTAGCTCACTTCATGACGGGCCGGAGTATAGCATGCAGGTTTGAGTGCTACAAGTTTAGAGTTTTACTATGAAGATTTCAGAACGTTTCGTTGGAGGGTTTCTATGGGATTTCACGAATAAGCGGTGCGGCCCAACTGGCCCAGAACACATTGGGTGGCAGCATTTGGACAGCGACCTCACCTCTAACATCGAACATACTCTGCAGTTCATACCGCTTCTCTTGCTGTCCTGCACCTGCAACGTAATTAGGTTGCAGCCAATGCCAGACTACCGCAACTCCTGCCTGCTGCAGTTCTGCTGTTGCAAACAACCATTAACCTACTACCCTGCAGCTGTTTTAGATGCAGTCGGTGGAGGCGTTTAGTGGAGTGATCGCAGAGCGGCATGGCAGTACCACTAAAGTCACTAAAGTTTGAGTGGGGGTAGTAGGGGCAGTAGTAGTAGCAGCAGCAGTAGTAGTGGTAGTGTGTCGTCGTCGTAGTAGTCGTACTCGCAGTGGTAGGCGTCGGTGTAGCGGTAGAGGAGGCGGCGGCAGAGGCAGGTCCAAGGGCAGGGGGAGGGGTAGTGGTACTGGTAGTGGTAGTGGTAGTCGTCGTCGTGGTCGTACTGGTAGTCGTAGTGGTAGAGGTAGTAGTCGTCGTAGTGGTGGTGGTGGGAGTAGCAGTAGCATTCAGCAGCATCATGCGGCATCGTGCTCGTCTCCGCCGTCGTCACGATAAACTTGCGTCGGGCCGAGTGTCTCGCAAAAACACAAACCAGGCATCATCAATTTCGAGCTGCAGGCCCTTCGTCCGTGATCCCACCGCCCAGGACACAGCAGAAGACTGCAGTGGTCGGCCCCTACTTTGACAAGCAGGCTCTGCAGAGCATCTCTTCCGAGGATTTTGAGGCTGCATCTTGTCCTCCTAGGGGTTGAACTTTACTCGTTTGGGGTTTGGGCATATCTGTCGGCGAGGACTCGAGGCTCTTTGTTGTTGCGTTTCTTGCGCATGCGGGTTCCTTGTGAGACCTGGGCCGCGGTTGCCCTTACTTGATGTTGGAGAGGTCCCTTCCGGGGGATACCATAGCCGCCAAGGCGAAGAAGCATCGCGATGTTGACACTCAGAAGGCCACGACGCTGGTGGTCCGGAACCTGCCGGATACGATAACTAACCAGGACACTGCCCTGAAGTGGCTGCAGGCCATCGGGGACTTGAGGGGCTATGACTTCTTCCTCTTTTTCCCAAAGCCCAGGGCTAAATCTAGCACCATGGCCTATGCTTTCGTCAACTTCTGCTGGCCGAGTCGGATGGAGGCATGCCTGCAGAGCCTGCGCGGCTACAGTGTCGAGGGCAGCGACCCCTTGAATGTGGTGGTGGCAAAGGACACTCAAGGTCTCCAAGCCTGCAGGTCCCATTTTCAGGCCCTCATCGACGAGGGCCGGCTGCTCCCCGTCATCCGATGCTTTGACGAAGCCGCTGCGGAAGTTCCCGCTCGCGTGGGGTATCAGTGAGGACCTAATTCATCTGGGACCAAAAACTCAAAACGGGTGGGGGGGTTGTCCCAAAACAATTTGTCTCGAAAATATCTAATACTACGAGTGCTGCCGAAGTGTCGTTCTGGAATCTTGAGTTTGGCTGCGGTTGGTGCGCGACAGATCGCGCAGAAGATCACTACGGCGAAACTATGTGCGAAGACGTCATTCTCGCGCATGGCGCATGTTTACCGTACAACTAAATTCCAAATCTTCGCTAGGACTGTTGCTCATCGTCATCGCTTATCTTATTATTGTTAGACAGCAACCACTACTCTCGCTTGTACTTATGTAAACACTACTCGTGTGGTAGTACTAGTGCTGGCGCAGATACTAAGCGGTAGTGGTATTCACTAGCCAGCGACACTGTTGCTGCTACTACTACTACTACCACCACCACTATTTCTGCCACTACAGCTACCGCTGCCACTTCCACCGACACTACGACTTACTGGTACTACTACTGCTGCTGCTGCTGCTACTAGTACTAGTACTACTACTACTACTACTACTACTACTACTACTACTACTACTACTACTACTACTACTACTACTACTACTACTACTACTATCACTACTACTACTACTACTGCTGTTGCTGCCACTGCCACTGCTACTGCCACTGTTGCTGCTGCTTCCACTACTACTACCACCAGCACCAGCACCACCACCACGACCACCAGCACCACCACCACCACAACCACAACTACGACGACGTGTGGTTTGCATTGCTGTCGGAAGGCGCGACGGGAAGTACAATGGCATTTGTCGGACAGTCCCTAAGCCGACGTTTGTGTAACTGTATAAGCTATTATACATTAGCGCTATTTCCTTTTTTGATTTTTTGGCTCTCAGTATCGGTTCGTTTCATGTTTCACCTGCTACCTGCTGGGGCTTGAAGATGAGCCTTACATCGCGCTCGCTGGCCTTCATACTGCGTCGATACTAAGTGGGAACAGCGGTAAGACGAATCCCAGCCAGGAGTGCAGCTGATGTTTGGGGCAAGGCCTCCTGCGCTCGCAGCTCCTGCAGACTGCACCGGAGCCCGTCATTCTTGCGACCGAACTCTCCGGAATCCATTGCACCACAGGCTCGCAAAAGCAGATAGTAACTTCTTGACTGCAGAACGCCAGGGGGTTGTATGGTCACGACTTATGCAGCACTACATGCTTGCAGCAGAACCCGCCGGTCAGCAGACGGCCCAACTCCGGAGTTGACTGGTGTTGCACGGATACCTTGGGTTCCAGTGTTTGATGCCGGGGCGTACCGGGGCCTGGCCTTGTTCCGTCACAATGCAGAGCCGCGCAAAAGGGAGATTCTTGTCTCGGATAATCAATGGGTGTTGCCAGACAGTGCCACAGATTCAGACCAAGAGGCTCTGCATTGCAAATAAGAGCAGGGTACAAGAAGCTGTCTGGAGTTCCCTGATGCGGTTCAGGGTCAAGGAGTTCGCAGGGGTCTTGGGTCCAAAAAGCAAAGCTGGAATCCCATGTGGTCCTACGAGTTCCGAAGCACCAACTTTTAGAAGGTGGTTTCCCGACGTGGCGACAACAGCGAAAACGGAAAGTACTCCAAATTGGTTGCCAATGACTACAAAATCACTTGCGCATTCACCTGCTACTAGCACCGCACGGGGTGGCCGTGTGGGAGATGGAAGGGGTTTCCAGATGTTTCGGCGGTCACTCTAGGTCTGGTTGAACTGAAGCAGCTCCTGCGTGCTAGAACTGAAAATTCGCAGCTCGTGCTCCGTTGAAGCAGCAGCACTGTCAAGATTTCTTGTACGCATGGGTATCATGTGAAAACCTTAAACTTATATGCGCACACGCACGCTTGTTCGAAGCAGTGCGTGCAGATGCACTAGGACTGCACATTACTTGTCAGCTGGAGCTGCATGCTTTCAAAAATATTGATTCTATAGCCGCCAACTGAAGGCAATGGAAACGAAGCATCTTTGTACCCTTCCAGTTAGCAGTGGCGCTTACTCAAGAAATGCCTTATTCAACAGAATGCAACAGTGCAGCTTCGACTTATGCAGCGGAGTCGGTTTCCCCTGTTCGATCCTCGCATCCACAGCACCCACACACGGCCTTGAGAATTTAACCGTCAGATGGCAGGTACAACTGAAGCTAGCTTCGAAGAAATTGTGCCGTCACGCGTGCGGAACTAAACATGAAGTACTGGATTCAGACACACCTCAGTCGCAGATTGAACGTGCCCGACTGTCCAGAAGTCGAAGTTTTTCATTTTGCGCACCCGTGGACTTCACTCTCCACTTGACTGTGCGCTTGCTAGGCTGCTAGGCAGCTTATGCAGTTGGGGGTTTGACAGAAAATCGAAGCTTTGCATTTCCTCAGTATCCGACATTCACTGGTTCTGTCCACCAGTTCAAGACGCTCGCTGTTGTTGGGGTCTCCGACTGGATTCAATCCCGCTGTCGTGTTCAGCATCTCCTCATGGGATTTTTTCTAAAAAAAAACTGTTCCACACCGGCAGGTTTTCAGGGAACGTTTTGAGGCAGCCTGCTCGAAAGCAGACAAGTTTCACCCGTACACTCAGCGCAAGATAGCTTAGAGCACCAACGAAGGAGCCTCGTTGAGGTGCATCCGGAACCCTCCTTCTGACCTCAGGCCCCAAGGCCAGACACGTCTGTATCATGTCATACCTCCTGATCGCCCGTCATGACAACGAGTGTACAAAACCAAACCCCAAACACACCACAATCCTGTTCTAACTACTAGGCCCCCGAGGTAGATTTGTCAAGGATGCATGACCGCGGCTGACGCGAGGCATGTCTCACAGAGGCTCTGGAACCAAGCTCGTGATGGCAAAATGTCCTCGTGGAGAGGGCACATGATTTTGATCGAGGTACTATGAGGCTTTCTACGAGGGATTGCTATAGGGCTTGGTCTTGGGCCTGCGCACGGCTAACCGGATCTGGGATTCAGGGCGAAAGCAATGCTTGGGACCAGGTTGTGTGCGGCAGTGTAATTTGAAATGGGTTTCTTCTGAACTTTGTCAGCGAGATGACCAATCGTGGCAGCAAAGTCCTCCCCACTTCACACAGAAAGTTCCTGCTGATTGTTGCGACGTTGCTCACGCTGGCTTTCCAGCGTGTACACAAGTTCTAATGTTCCAGCTGCACTCCGAGTCTTAGATCACTTTTGCTACGATTTCAGGTGAGGCAAGACCAAGAACAGTACTTTAACAGTACCGTCTAAGACATTCCGGAAACCCCAAGTTGGTGAGAGCGGCGCTGGGTGAGGGAAGCAAAATTGAAGCCCAAAATGTCAGACTCCCCTCGATTGCTTAGCGCTTCCATTGTCTTGTGGAGACGGGCCTCCCGGGGCTGGGGGGACCTGAGTGGATAGACCACCCGAAACGAACACGGATTTCGCTTCGAAGCACGAGCCATTACCGCAATCTCAATTCCATAAGTCGCTTGGCTTCTTTCGAGCCTTGCGTTGGTCAGCAATGCTCCGAGGCAGAAAGCGTGCTGCGGATGTTGTGGCTGCATCTGCGCAGCGATCTGGCCGCGCCACGCTCTCACCTGTGCCTGCCGTTCAGATTCAGATATATGTGATATATCTGCCATTCCCTTTGCGAACTCTACTCACCGAAGAATCATTTGCATCGTTCTTTGTCATGTCGAGTCGAGAGGGAGCGAAGCAGATGGTATTGCCTGCTTGACTTTTCTGTCGATCTCTAGGTCCCTGAACCTCAACTCAGCAACTCTGTGCTGGGCTGGGGGATCAGGGATGACGTTTGGGGAATCGTTGTCTTCGGGTGTCCAGCAGGCTCAGTACCTGCAGTCAGTGGTCTGACATTCAGGATGATTCAGGCCACGGCCTGACGCTGTGAAGCGAAAAGCTTCCGGTGGATTCCATGGACTGTTGCTTCGTGATGCTCTGTTGGGATGGATTCTAACGGGTGCACTTGTGGCAGTAGAGTGCAACAGTCACGAAGTCGGCATTGTACTGTCGTATTGAACGGGGTGAAGAGGGGTTTGTTACGTGCTTAGCCCCGAGCTTGAGGGCCGAGTTCGTTTCCTGGTCTGCCATTTTAAGAGATGTGGACGAGCCGTTTCGTCAGCATATCTGCTCTACTATTGCGCATATGGGGGGTGAGAAGTGATCAGGTCAGGTAATTAGCCACTGTCTCGCCTCGGTATACAGTGTATGCAGTAGCAAAATGTAGAAAACCATGCAATAGCAACACCCGATCTCCGAAACTCCTGTGCCGGAGGCATTTTGGCAGTCTTTCATAAGCCTTCACGCGTGTATTGAGGCCCTGGACCGTGAGGAGCTGATCGAAGCAATGGCAGGGTATCCTAGAGCCGATTGCGAGGGCTTGGCCTCAGCTTTTGTGTTCAGCAGAAGAGTTTCCATGCAATCAAGCCCCTGGCACTTCAGGCCGTTGCGACTTGGGGCGGTACACTTCGCGGGGAAAAGCTGCGTGCAGATTGCGCCGGCCCCCGAGTGCAGAGGTGCTTACCACCACGACCTGACAGCAAGCATCATTAAGCTATCTCGCTCTGCGTACTCAATGGTGGCATTTAGCTACTAACTTAGCACTGCGAATCTTGACTATATCGTAACGTCGTAAGGAAAGTTAAGCTCAACGATGACGGATACCACAAATGAGAGCATGTGATAGTAGTGTTGTTGCTGCTTTTGCCGATCTTATTATTGCTCGTGTTATTGTTGCTGTTGTTGTTGTTGTTGTTGTTGTTGTTGTTGTTGTTGTTGTTGTTGTTGTTGTTGTTGTTGTTGTTGTTGTTGTTGTTGTTGTTGTTGTTGTTGTTGTTGTTGTTGTTGTTGTTGTTGTTTTTGTTGTTGTTGTTGTTGTTGTTGTTGTTGTTGTTTTTGTTGTTGTTGTTGTTGTTGTTGTTGTTGTTGTTGTTGTTGTTGTTGTTGTTGTTGTTGTTGTTGTTGTTGTTGTTGTTGTTGTTGTTGTTGTTGTTGTTTTTTGTTGTTTTTTTTGTTGTTGTTGTTGTTGTTATTGTTGTTGTTGTTGTTGTTGTTGTTGTTGTTGTTGTTGTTGTTGTTGTTGTTGTTGTTGTTGTTGTTGTTGTTGTTGTTGGTGTTGTTGTTGTTGGTGTTGGTGTTGGTGTTGGTGTTGGTGTTGTTGTTGTCGTTGTTGTTGTTGTACCTTGTTGGTACAGACAAAAACAGCAGCCCGTACTTGTTGTTAATTAGAAGTAATTGGGAATGCTTCCGGCGACCGCATAGGGTGCCTGTAGAGTTCTGGGAAGTGCAAGCCATGGTTTACACAGCAACTGCCCTATGATAGAAATGCGGTGTAGGCTGGGTGGTTGTTGTAACAGGGGGGGGGTCAAAACAACAGACGGGGCTCCAGTTTTTGCCTCTACTACAGGGGGTAGAGACAAAGGCACACGCGAAATCAGGACTTTGTCTCTACCCCCTGTAGTAGAGGCAAAAAGTGGAGCCCCGTCTGTTGTTTCGACCCCCCCCCTTTACAACAACCGCCCACACTACACCACATTTCCACCACAGGTATAGGAATCTGCGATATCCAGAAGGGGTTCTTATGGGTGTTGGAAGGGCTTGTCTGGAATTTTGAGGGGTTTGCATTGGATACTCGTACACTCAAAAACTATACGTAGTTACCAAGGCAGTATACAGTAGTTTGTACAGGCCTCGCAAATAATCTGCACAGCGGGGAACTGAATTTCACACCAAATCCACTGAAATACACATCAAATCCACTGAAATACACACCAAATCCACTGAAATACACACCCAAATCCATTGAAATACACACGAAATCCATTGAAATACACACGAAATCCATTGAACTACACCCGAAATCCATTGAAATTCTCACCGAATCCATTGAAATACACACCAACTCCATTGAAATAGGCACGAAATCCACTGAAACACACGCGAAATCCACTGAAATACACACGAAGTCCACTGAAATACACGTGAAATCCACTGAAATACACACGAAATCCATTGAAATACACGCGAAATCCACTAAACTAAACACGAAATCCACTGAAATACGCACGAAATCCACTGAAATACACACGAAATCCTCTGAAATACGCACCAAACAGTATACATCACAGGCATCCACAGGCACTGTGTTGTTGTTGTTGGGGGGGGGGTAAAACAACATGACGGGGCTCCTGTTTTTGTCTCTCCCTAATGTACAGACAAAAAGCAGATATATGGGTTGACGGGGCTGCAGTTTTTGTTTGTACCTTGTTGTTGTTGTTGTTGTTGTTGTTGTTGTTGTTGTTGTTGTTGTTGTTGTTGTTGTTGTTGTTGTTGTTGTTGTTGTTGTTGTTGTTGTTGTTGTTGTTGTTGTTGTTGTTGTTGTTGTTGTTGTTGTTGTTGTTGTTGTTGTTGTTATTGTTGTTGTTGTTGTTGTTGTTGTTGTTGTTGTTGTTGTTGTTGTTGTTGTTGTTGTTGTTGTTGTTGTTGTTGTTGTTGTTGTTGTTGTTGTTGTTGTTGTTGTTGTTGTTGTTGTTGTTGTTGTTGTTGTTGTTGTTGTTGTTGTTGTTGTTGTTGTTGTTGTTGTTGTTGTTGTTGTTGTTGTTGTTGTTGTTGTTGTTGTTGTTGTTGTTGTTGTTGTTGTTGTTGTTGTTGTTGTTGTTGTTGTTGTTGTTGTTGTTGTTGTTGTTGTTGTTGTTGTTGTTGTTGTTGTTGTTGTTGTTGTTGTTGTTGTTGTTGTTGTTGTTGTTGTTGTTGTTGTTGTTGTTGTTGTTGTTGTTGTTGTTGTTGTTGTTGTTGTTGTTGTTGTTGTATGTTGTTGTATGTTGTTGTATGTTGTTGTATGTTGTTGTGTGTTGTTGTATGTTGTTGTATGTTGTTGTATGTTGTTGTATGTTGTTGTATGTTGCTGTATGTTGGTTGTTGTTGTTGTTGTTGTGTTGTTGTTGTGTTGGTGTTGTGTGTTGTGTTGTGTTGGTGTTGGTGTTGTGGTGTTGGTGTTGGTGTTGGTGTTGGTGTTGGTGTTGGTGTTGGTGTTGGTGTTGGTGTTGGTGTTGGTGTTGGTGTTGGTGTTGGTGTTGGTGTTGGTGTTGGTCGTTGTGGTTGTTGTTGTTGTTGTTGTTGTTGTTGTTGTTGTTGTTGGTGTTGGTGTTGGTGTTGGTGTTGGTGTTGGTGTTGGTGTTGGTGGTGTTGTTGTTGTTGTTGTGGAAGGGGGGTCGTACCAACAGACGGGGCTCCAGGTTTTGTCTCTAGCAGCAGGTAGAGACAAAGGCCCCATTGAAATCAGGACTTTGTCTCTACCTGATGGTAGAGACAAAAACTGAAGCCCCGTTTGTTGCTTTGCCTCACACCTTTTCAATAACCGCCCACATGACACTACGTTTCCACCTCAGGTATGGGAATCTACAAAATCCAGAAGGGTTCTGACGGGTGTCCACGGGGCTGGTCTGGAATTTTGAAGGGTCTTTTTTCTTGAGAATATCGACCGGTTCAAAAAGAGCCGAATCACAGCCAATTCACAGCCAAATGCAGCTAGCTAGCTCACAGCCGAGTTACAACCATTTCACAGCCGAATCGCGGCCAGCAATTCTCAGCTGAATCACGGCCAACTCGCAGCCGAGTCACAAGCAGCTCAGAGCCGAATCGCAGCCGGGTCACCGCCCTACGAAATATGCACAAAACTCCTTGCAAATTCGGTGAATCCCTGGAAATACGCACAAAATCCTTGCAAGTAGACTGAAAGGCTTCTGAAACATACACAAAGCCCTGCCAATTCCCCCCCGCCCCCCTGTGGTGTGGGGCCTGTGGTGGTACTCTTTTTGCCGCGACGTTCTTATGTGTTACTCCTTGTCTTCCCTCTTGCTGTGGCACCGGTGATACTGCTCATGATGTTGTGCTGCTCTAGACCGGGACATGAGTCGACAATCAGACCATGCTCAACATCATCTTTGTCGTCGTCATCTTCATCATTACAGTAATACCTTCCAAAGAATATCTGCGACCATCACCATCGCCATACAACCCTCAAAATTCAGCATTGCAATTCATGTCAGATGCTGGAAACTACTGAGCCGATTGCCGCTTTCCGCACACGGCAGGGAATAGTGCGACACTCCTGATCCGCGCACAAGGTCAAGGGGCGGGCCGGAGGGCGGGCCGGGGGGGATGGGGGTGGCGGCCCGGGAGCCGAGAGCATATATCTGCTTTTTGTCTGTGCATTAGGTAGAGTTAGAGGCTGCAGTTTTGTTTGCACCTTGTTGTTGTTTGTTGGTTTTTTGGTTGTTTGGTGTTTAGTGATTGGTGTTGTTTTCTTGTTTTTGTTTTTATCTTTTTGGTGTTTGTTTGTTGTTGTTTGTTTGTTGTCTGTTGTTTGTTGGTCGCTGGTTGCTGGGTGCTGCTGCTGATGCGCATCGAGAGTTTCTCTGGTTGTCCTGCTATGTCGTCGGACCGGAGAAGGAAAAGGAGATCAGACATACGTAGAGCGGCACAACTCCGGGAACAAATAGAGGCGGTATGACGGTATGTTTGGGCTCTATCACAGCAGCAGCAGCAGCAGCGCGACGAGTGGTGGCGGCATGAGCGACTTCAGCACCATCGCCGCAGCAAGTCCCAGCGCCACCAACAAGGCCCTCATTAACTGTCGTATCGCCACCACCACAACAACGGCGACTGTGGCGACGGCCTCCTATCACCACCGCGATCACCGCCAGCATGATATCACCGACGACTAGTGTTCCTTCCGCTGCTGCGGTTGCCGACTGCTGTGACTGCTTTTGCGCCGATGGCATGGACGATGATTACCATTTCCTGCAATACTGCAGCAAGATCGCCCGATCCGGTCAGTACTATCTTGTTAGGTCTGCGACGACGAGTTCGACCATAATGCTACCATGGCAATGCCAGTACCACGGCTGCTGCGGCTGCTGCTGCTGCTGCTGTGACATATTTTTCAGCATCGCCGCAAAAACTGAGAAGTGTAGGAGATTAGTAGATTGTAAAAATGCCGTCTAGCATGCATATCATGCTACTACTGCTTTTGCTTCTACTACTATACTCCTGCTGCTGCTGCTGCTGCTGCTGCTGCTGCTGCTGCTATTACTACTGTACTGCTACTGCTACGACTGGGAATCGTGAGGACGAAGATGACGGTGTTTTTGGAGATGATGGTTTATACATACCAGGAAGCAGAGCAGCAGTTGCAGCTGCAAGAAAACACAGGACCGTAGACAGAGTCCCAGAGTCAAGGCAGCAAAGGGCATCCCCATGGACAAGCTTAGCTTCGAGCAAGCAGATGCGCTGCTTCGCCCTCGGTCCGAGTTGCCCGATTCACCCATCTATTAGGAGGCCCCTTCCCTATCCTCGGTGCCTGGGTCGGCGCGGGCGCCTTTCTGATACGGCCAGCCTGCCTAGGGGGGAGTAATTCTGGGGCGCCTCCTAATAGATGGGTTAGTCGGGCTTCGAGTCAACAGTGTCACTAGATGATCGTTTTGATCTCGGTGGATTCGACTAACTTTACTTGGGGTCAAAGTTCAATGTATACACGGTTTGGAAGTCACTGAGGTGGATTTCAGGGGCAGGAGTTGGGATGTCTCTCTAGTCGGGATCCACGAGATTTTTGTCGGGGTGTGCTTCACGCGAGGCCTTGCATTGTCTCAGGTCTACGCTGGTATCATAGATTCTCGCCACATGGGCCTTCCACTGAAGTATTTCCTGTTGCTTTCTGAAGTTCGATGATTCGAGCATGGGCATGTGTGACCGCAAGCTGGCTCATGAAGAGATTTCCGGGAAGCGGTTGAGTTTGCCCGCGATGCAGGAGACGGGGGTTTGCTGTCAAAAGCCAGTGAGAGTTTGCCAGTAAAAGCCCTGGCCGGTTTCAGGCAACGGCTACATGAAGCCAGGGCAATGAAACAGAGTCCTACCACTTCTAGTAGCACCCTCTTCTAGATGTCGCGAGACTAAACAGCTTTCAGTCCCTCGGCACGAAGAGTAAACAGAAAAGAACCTGTAGGCGAACAAGAGGATTTGGTTCACGCGCGGTCCTTCCAAACGAGTATGACACAGCATGATCATGTGATCGAGCCTGCATGGCTCAGCACAGCCCTGTAGAAGCTTGAATAGATATTTACCGAAACTATTCCTTCGGGTTGCGGATTGGAAGTATACTGTAAGATACCGCTTTCCCGAAACGGGCTTTTCTGATTATTCAGGTTTTTACAATTATTGTGGCTTGCAAACAGGCATGGTCAGGGAGTCTTTGAAGCGCTTCTCCTGGGTAAGTGTGCCTCGTCAATGACCTGCTTCACGGATGTCCATGTTCAATTACATAGGGTTTCGTTTGCCCCTAACCTTCAAGCCCGAAAAGAAGGGATTCAAACAGTTTCAGAGGCCGCGCGCGTTGACCCCAGCCCAGGACTTCGGCAGATAGCTCCCATATGGACTGCCGCGTGTCATAGTTCACTGTCTGCCGTTGACGAATCAAATCCGACAGCAAGACTCCATGAAAGCCATCCTAAGGCTTTTGCTCTTCCTGAGCTCCTCGCATCCTGCACACAACTCACCCCTCAACCCCAGAACCCAAGCAGCTTTTCCGATGCTTCCAGGAGGGCAAAGGTGGCCTCGACCTCAGCCGGGCCCTGCTTCAGCTTGTTGAAGACGGGACTAACGGAAGCAGATTTTTTCTTGCGGTTTCGATCTCCGTTCGGCTGCCTAAACCCTAAACCCAACGGTAGTTACCCGACCTGCCGACTAAGAACCTCGTCTGGATGCGTCCGAGTTGCGAGAGCGTAAACCCTAAACCCGTTTCAGTAGATGTTTTTGTAGCCCCACTCATGGCCCCGCGCCTTGCCGAGGCACCTACTACCCACCGTTTCCCGTGTTAGGGCTCGCTAGCGATGGCGGGCAGACACTTGGCGACTGAATGGACGCGGACTCTGCAACAACTATGGAGTATACAGTTGGAGCCATGATAGCATGCATAAAGCAACACTGTCGCGAAGAGTTGTTCGTGGTGGTAGAGAGGCCAAGGTTCGAGGGTCCTTGGCATGTCTTGGCATCCTTCTAAGTTCTATTGGCGGTTCGTTCCTAACCGATCTGCTGATCATATTGGCCTTGGCGGGCTTTGTCAAGTATAAATGCGTAAACCGTGAAAGAGTTGGATCCGCCCTGAGTCTGCAGATGGCAGGAACACACATCATGTGCAGCTATTTCTTGGCACTTAGGATTTTCCTTAGCTGCGGTGGTGGTGGCGCGACGGCCGCCAAGGAAGTCCCTAATGTCGTGCAGGCAGGGACGGAGCTCCACCTGGCGTAGGGCCTTAACCAAACAGTCTCCCTCCTCAAGCCAGATTCGGGCCCGGCAGGGAGGAGCAACAGTCCCCTGAGTTGTCGGAAGATGCACTCCCGATGGGTGGCCATCAGACCCAGTCAAGTTTGATTTAAATGTTGTTCTGACGCTTTGGATTGGTCATAACCATGCTCCGCCTAAGGCCTAGCGCCTCTGCTGAACAACCGAGCCCAGAGGCACATCGCTACGATGAAACGACTGGACAGATGAGCACTATCGCATCCTTGGACACCGCCAAATGACGCTGAGGCTCAAAGATATATTGTCATCCTGGATGACGATCACGCAACTAGTAAGCTAGTAATAGGCCAGTCATTGCAGGAGATTGTAAGAGTATATATATATATACATATATACACGACACACTGAGTGCAGCGCAAATGGTGAAACGCGGCTTTGTCCCGAAGCAGACTGAGGTGTTGTTGTGGCGCTGTCCTATGCACCGGCGCTGGAGTTGTGGCTTCTCGGTAGCTTCAGATTCAGAGATTCAGCAGGTCGCCTCACCCGATTCTGCTTCCTCCCAAAAGGCAGCCCTGGCACTATCAGCCGATCTTGTACCCATTATCTCCTCATGTAGCTCAGGCAGCTTTATTCGGAGAGCCGAAATAATCTGGCATGGAGTATACTTCGAGCCGCCAGACTTTCGTCTAGATTCTAGGTTCCTGTAGAAGAACTAAGAACACTCCCATTGCAGGTTAGGCTGCGTTGGGCGGGGCTGCAAAGTGCTGCAGCTCTCGGCAGCTTGGACCTGACAACGTCTTTAGTCTTACCCTAAAGTTCAGGCCCTAAAGTCTTAAAAACCCTAAACCCTTCAAGCCTCGCCTGGATTGTCCGAGTGCGAGCGCCGAAACCCTACAAGCCGAAGCTCAGCAAAATTCACTTAACAGTATCAGCAAAGTGTGAAGCCACGCCAGGTGGAGAAGAACACCCTGACAGAAGTCTGCGAGTGGGAAACGGAGGAGACCGGCAAGCACCATTATCTGCAATAGTGGGATTGCCCCAACAACCCCAGGTGGGTGTTCATCATTACCCACCAGTGTGAGATGATATGATGTCCCATCAGAACCTGTATTGGAGTTTGTACTCATCGGAGGAGCCATTTCAGAGAGAGATCGTCATCAAGATTAAACTCTCCAGAGGGGCCTTAAGGCCTTAAGAACTATTTGGACTTGTGTGTTGCGGTACATTATCATTCAGAATAAGGTAATCTAACAGTAATTCTTGCGACCCCTCTATTGAAACGCACAGAGCGACCGAACCCTGGCCTTGATAGACGCGAAACCATAGCTGAGGCTCCTGAACCCCGGAGAAATGGCCCCTGAGCTCCTGCAATACTATTCTGGGGGCTCCTTCGATGTTAATGTAGAGTACAGAAAACCGCAAAAACCCTGTTCTAGTGGTTCGGGCCCCTACATTGCAGCCCTTCAAATCCAGCTGAGGTCCCCTTCCACGAACGTGGCGAAGCACGCTTCCGAGTTTCGTCCCGATGGCTCCGTCTCGGAAGTTGTGAGATAACGCACAAGCCGCAAATTCGTCGGGTTGAGACATGTATGTATGTATGCATGCACAAATGAATTTTGCATGTGGGCATATGTGTCCGTGTGTGTATGTACGCGTATGTGTACGTAGAGACATATATATATATATATATGTATATATGTGTGTGTATGTGTGTGTGTGTGACTATGTGTAGATATAGATACGATTAGATATAGACATAGGAAGATATAGATAGAAGCCTGTATGTATATATATATATATACACACACACATAGATGTATATGCATTTCCACATAGAAGCGGATAGCTGGATCTGCAGACGAGCAGCTGGCCATCGTGCAACTGGCCAGCATCGCACGTGTGTACATTACATGTATGCCTTCGAACATAAAGAACAATCATGTACTGTGTGTCGTATTAAACCGTAGGAAACACTGTATGCCATGATTCTAATCTTGATTCTGCCTCCTTTTGTTGCCGCGACAATTGCGGCTTGGACCCAGGTGCTCTCCGAACGGCCACTTGGTGGCTACAGGAGGCACCGATGGCATCGTGCGGATATTCGAGGCCCAGCAGAAGAGAGTCGAACGAATTGTGCTCCGAGCATGCAACAGCTTTGCGCACCGGCTTCCGAAGTGTTTCAGCACGTCGTGGGACACTGGGAAGGTGTCTTAGGACCATGTGAA